CCGCTTTAGTTCGCTCCTAATAGCCCGTCTGGTCACATTGTGCTCAGAGCCAGCCGGAAGATTTCTTATAGATTCCAAGAAGTTCACCGACCTCGCGGATATCCAGTGACTGGTGCGGTGACGTTTGATAGTGCCACAAGCAGATGCTCCTGCGTCGTGCATGGCGGCCGAGATCCTATTCCACTAAACTCAGTGTCATTAGAACAAGACAGTTCGGTATGCAGTGCATCTTGATAGGCTTGCCTGATCGAGGGCTGAGACAATTTCTCCCGGTAAAATTCATGAAGAAACGGCAGCGTACCAAGGCATGATCAGAGTCGACGCAGGTATTGTAGTACGAGCGACAATCCAGAATAGAACCACGTTACCTGTAACTTATGGCTATGTGGTCAACTTGGGTCCATCACTGGCCAGCTACAGGAGGACGTCAAGTGGCACTTCTGCGCTCACTGTGTCTAAAATCAGTGTCGCTAAGAAAAAACTGGTGCTCCGTATATAGTTGCAGCAGACGCTCACCGTTGTCAGTCCGTTCGGAGTTAAGCCCACAATTACCACGCAGCTGAGCTTTTGAAGAGCACAGACGTCCTAATTGTGCGTTCATATCCCCTGCAACCACTCTAATATCTGAACTAGTAACACTGCGTAGTAGCGCGTTCAGTTCGTGATAGAATGTGTCCTTGACAGCATTTGAGCAGCAGTTGGTGGGAGAATAAGCGGAAAGCACAAACAAACATCGTTTTATACTACTTCCTGAATCAACTTTAGCTGATGTCAAAGGGGCTGCAGATAAACGGCTGTTCACCTAAATCCAATCAATCAACGATGGCTCAGAGTTGGAGCTAATACCTACACCAGCTTGACCCGTGAGTGCTGCATCGGCGTCTCCGGATGCGTGCAGCCAATAACGAGAGGCTAAGTCGGGTGCAGTTAATTCAACAAGCCCTTTAGGGTCATTGATCCTAGTTTCGGACACAGAACACAAATAAATACCCAGTGTGTCCAAGGTGCGTGGGAGTGCAGCCTGTTGAGCTGCTTGTCTTGGAGTGCGAACGTTGAACGGCGCCATGGAAACGGGACAGCGTGGCCTTATAAGGGACTGTTGCCGATAGGCATCCGTTGGGTGTTGTGGGAAGGTGGCTAAGATGGTTCTACTATGGTGGCACTTCGGTTGCTGTCAATAAGGCTGGGAATTATAGTAGGAAGGTTAGTAATGGGGATCGGGATGGGAGTAAGTAAAGCAAGTGGAAAAGAAAGAAGGGAGGCGCCAGCAGTAGCCTGTTTTCACTTATCCGCCCTGCTGTATGCAGCAGATAAGGCGACCCTTGATAATCTGTGCGACAGCCAATGCAGGATAAAGTTTACGTTTGAAGAAAAAGTTGTGGTTGTATGTGGGCTAGGATACTGCCAGGGCGCGCAGATCTAGACAGGAGGACGATTAGGGTCCTCATCCAAAGCCTTTGGCTCAAAAGCCTGTCCGCAAGGCAGCGGGGAGGTGGCAATGATTTAGCTGTACAGAAATGGACACCATCCCATTTCAAACCCCAACCTGGAAGACCAAGAGACTGAGATTGTCTGACCTCTCGCCATTGACCAACCTAATAGGAGTATCTCTCAAGGTGCCCGCAGGTACCAGCCAGTATAGCTCAATGGGTCAAGGAGGTATGCAAACAGTCGCACCATCTTAAGTTCCAGTCTCTTTACGACGGAGTCTCGTTGCGACTTGCATGAAGTGAAGATGAGGCCATGGACGAAGATGCGTTCTTGGCACTACTCTCCGTTAACACGAGACCACTTTACTTTCCCCTGCACGAGTAACCAGCATATGGCACGTCAAGAGTAAATGCCACTACGCCAAATAGCCAGTAATAGGCGGAAAACGGGCAACTCGGACATTAAAGAGTCAGCTATGGGCAATACCAAAGTCCTAACACTAAGAGAGGGGCTAAATTCCACAGTTAAAAGTGTGCCAACCGGAGACGCGTAAGCAGTGTTCGCTAAAGTCTGTGACCCCGGTACTCCAACGCAGTACTCGGGAAGAGGCTAGTAGACAAGTGGAACAACAGGTGGTCGAATGTAATGGATAAATGATGTCCGATTAAACAGGTCTTTACAAGTCCTGCGTTTTCCTAAACCGTGTTGTGAAAAGAGGTGAGTTCGGACTATCCAATCAATCAGAAGCGATAGGTAGGTACAGAGGGGCTAGACTTCCAAACAGTGGCTCACTCAAGTCGCGAACTCCAGCACACAGTACGGCTAAGACATACCGCGGCCAAACAGTGCAGCTTCCTGAAAGGCGAAAACCAGTAGGTAGTGTGGGCGGTCCACAGAGTGTTCCATAGTACACATGCATGAACGTGGTAAAAGTGCTCCCGCCATGACTCACTGTTCCATCTGATCGAGGTCTCATAACCCCCGTCAGTTGTCGGACAAATGGATAGAAAGTTTGGACGCACATTTTCGACCGACAATACTCACAACAAGCAGCTACCCGCATTCGCGTGCGCCAGCGGCTGTGCTGAAACCTTTAATGAATATCCAACAGTTGGATGGGTTCTCCTATTTATGGAACAGCGGGTTGCAAACCAAATAGTCATCACCAAGGTGGAGACCACAATGGCTATACTGTTTCGCCTAACGTGTAGAGGAGAAACGCGAGCGGTGCGTTCGTGGCGACCCGAATAATGACCTAATCACACGAAAGAATTCAGACACGAAATCAGAGACAAAGATTCTAAGGTGTTAACAAAGAATAGGAAGCGCGCCACTCGCTGTTCCGGGGATGTGATTCGCCAACCACGAAGACAGGCCGGCCTAGTCCTCACTAAGTGATGACGGTGAAGCCGAGTCATCAGCAGTGGCCACGTGGACGACTAAATGTACAGCTGTTTTGGGACAGGGGGTCGATACACACTAAAAGGATGGTGAATCACGTGGACGAAAAAGGGCTCATCGTGTGAAACGGAAACCGTTACGAGTGAGCACGGTGGCCTAATCCGAAGGCTGAACATAGCCATCAGGACTAGGTTAGATGAGTACACAGTGACAGAGGAAATGTTGGGCAGGCGGTGGGTGTATAGGTTGTTGAGTACTCACATCCCATTCGCCTCACCGTATAGGTATCCAAAGGATAACAGCTCAAAACTACCGGGTGCGGCGTGGACGTGGTACATAAGCCTGCGTTTTCGAACGCCCCACAGCTAACGACATACCATTTATCAAATGAAACCTCCGCAAACGCCTGAAGCGCTGCAGCAAGCGAACAAATGGCGTATGTAGGGGGAAAGGGTAGCCAGTAAGTTTGTGCAGTCTAACTGTGGAGAAGCTAAAAGACCAAAAACCGTTTTCACATTTATTGCCTAACATCGAGCGTGTGGAGGAATGGTTATCGATCAGGAAAGAGGACCTCTATGGCCTTCGGAAGCAAGATAGTGGGCACACGTTCGTCCAGTAGTGAGAAACAAATATTGCATGTTGAATTCACCGCGACTTGACCTAGTCAGATGGCCAGGGCTATTGGATGTGTTGCGTCTAACGCTCTAGCAAATTTATGAGAGAAGCAAATTAAGACGGTCTATTTCGGTTGCTCCGAGGAACGGCAATAATGCACAGCTGCTGCCTGATCGGCCAATGACAAGCAACGTGAAAACAAGCCAGGTTCCGAGCCGTGACTACATTCCATCAGGTCGGAAGTATCAAATATTGCTTACGAAAACGCTGCCTAAGATTTTGACTGACGCCAGAGAGATGTTATCCAGCTATAGTTCACAGCCCGAATAACAATTAATCCATGCTTAGGCTGTCTGTGAGTGGCTTCAAACAAAGCAAGAAATGTGAATCATCGTCAGACTACTGTGCGTCTCCATACGCCATAGATCATCACGATACGCACCTAAATACCATCGCCGGGTCGAGACATTCCAGTATCACAGCCCGCACACACACGACGAATGAAGTCTGCACACTGCTTCAGCCATAGCGCTAATGGGTTTTCGAATTAATCACACCAGAAGTGGAGACTATTGACTGGACTAGTGAAAAGGTCGAAGTGGGTTACTGTGGAAGGAAACAGAAGCGAAGGAGGTCGCAGGAGTAGAAAAGGTGAACGGATGAGCTGGTAATGCATAAATGAGCATAGTTCGATGACAGCATCCGTGCCAACTACAGCTAACTAGGATGGTAAAAACTTGTAGACAATGGTGATAGTTTATGTGAGGATAAGGCAATAAAATTGAAGATGTAAAATGGTTTTCAACTGCTCTGACATCGCGCAACTGGAGGTATGTTCTAAGTCGGTTAACTGGTTAGACAGGTAGAAAAATCTCCAATGCCTGGGAGAATAAGCTGCTCTACTTCGAACACAAACTGATGAAGCAACGAAATGCGATAGGTTGTACAAAGAATCATTTGTCAAGTTAGCTCAAGAGTTCATACACCAGGTGCCATCAAAATGGTGCGCAACATATCACCAAAAGAAGGAATGCCTACACGAAAAGAAGTGCTCGGTCACTCCACGTGAGACGGTTAACAGTCGAGCGTATGGATTGTCATCACACTCCTCCACACCCCACGTGAATTTCTCTACATCATAGTTAATGACGGTTGTTTTCGCAATTGCTTATCATGTTTCCGGAAGCACGCATATTTGTGACGCGTACTGTGCCATACACATAAGCTACATTTTCAGTAAAATACCAAAGAACTAAAGACGGAGAGAAAAGTGGATGAGGTAAGCTACAGTCTCCGAGCGAACCAAGTCAGATACAAAGTATAGCACAAAGAGTCGGCCGGTGGTATCGCACGTGTCTCCTCGATCCCTACCACATTAGTACACTTCCAACGTTGACACCTGAAATTCAAGTTAAGGAACAGTGACAAAATGAGCACTGGACACATGAACCGTGCTCGATTTTGCCGGTATCTGCTTTATCATCTAAACGGCTATTACCAAACCGGGGGCTAGGCGATGGACAACGGCTACTCAATAGGAAGAGGAAACTTACGGACCAAACGGCGCTTGTCGTGGTTGCTTGTACTGTTGTGGTTGCTGCTGCTCGATGAGCGCATTTGTATGCCATGCATTTGCTTCACTTGGCCAGTGGTGTCCAGAATATCATCTTGGTTCACAGGGAACACCAGTTGCGTTGGACAGGCAGGAATGTTGTGTGCACGACAATCTTGGGTAGAATATGCCAGGGAAGATGGGGGCAATACCGGCGACACTCCGAACGTACAGCTGATAGTCTTTGGATCATGTATGCCGTGGACCTGAGGAGAACAGAGCTGATAATTAGGAACAGGGGAAAGGTGGGCACAATCAGCTGGGAAATCGCAAGGTGGTGAATCGAAAGCGCAGGACGGAGAAGCGGAGTAGGAGCGTACGATGGAGTTGGGCGGGATAGCAGCCTGATTCGACTCGTCCGATGTCGCGTTTATGCGACTCCAGTCGAATTTCCGTTTCTTCATTGGAAGTCGACACGGGCTCACAGGGAGAGAGGCTCGTCTAAGACGAACTTCTGATGATTGTGGTTGACTCTGGGAGTTTACGTACGCGCAATTGGAGTAAGGAAAAATCTCACTGGACAAGGGTTGGATCTGTGACGCAGCTAGAGGCCCTGTGGTAACACATGACGACAATGACGATCCGCCCAAGTGAAGCGCCGCTGATGACCTGACAACCGACTCAACCATATCTAACGAGGAAGCTGAGGTTGAAGAAACGCTCTTCAAGTCAGACGGCGAGACGGTTTGAGTGTGAGACAAATTGGCGCTTAAATGGGATAAAGTTGCAAGGGTAGTTGAACACTCAGTCCTTCCGGGGTTGACAAATATCCATTTGGCCAGTGCTGGAACACAGTCTTGTGAGTTGTGGACGAAATCGTTTCGATCGCCCAGTGTGTGGACCACATGAGTAGAATTGTGTTGACCGCATGAGTCGAGCAACGCTGTGCGCAACCGATAGTGACATTGATTGTGGATTGGTGCCCCTCCAGGGCTATGAATCGTAGTCTGTGGAGACCCGTAAGATGTGTGTAGGCTAGCTTGTCGGGCGAGAGTGGAGTGTGGGATAATGAGACTAGCTTGACTGGAACTGTCCAAAGACGCCAGATTGATCTCTGGAAGGGGAAAACAAGAAACACTAGGAATTATTCATTGATTTTTCGAAAAAGTGAAACAGCTGTGTTTACCGTGGTCCGCCAGAAAAGGTGGCCGGAGTTAAGAAGCGGCTAAATATATTAGCCGGGTTGAGGTTGAAACATGACTGGCTAATTGTTGACTCCCAACGTGCTGAATGCCTTAAGTACAAACTAAGTGTTCTTTACAGCGAAGAGGTTAGAGAAAGTTGTGATTGTTATTCTAGGCAGACGAACGAAATCGCACAAGGATTCATCCACTAAGGAAGTTGCACACTTCGGTAAGCAATCTCTGACTGCTCTTCGACAGTGATAGAAGTTTATTCACTACTATGCTCGAAATCCCGACACAACACCACCTGTAGTCACAAGCTGTCCAGAAGTCAATAGCGCTGCAAGTGGACGCCGTTGGACCTATGTCTTCGAGGAGCAACAGTCATGTGTTGCATTCATGCTGAGGAGATGATTACATAGCAGTGTCGTGCACTTCACTTCTGTCCAACAAGTCGATATCGCACCAACATGAACGGCTATGGAGCTGAAAGTTCAGTAGGTCCTTTGACAACGTTGCTCACAAATTTGATAATTTGAACGTCAAAGGTGATACAACAACAAAGGGACCAATCGATTATCTCGTAAGGTTACTCGGCGAGTCGGTGACTGTCAACGCTTAGTCCCATACCATTATTTGCTGAAATTTTGTCCCCCTCGGAGTTGCTAGTAAAGAGTCCAACTTTCCAAACATTGCATTGTGTTCACACGAACTGAGGGATTCGTCCATCAGACCGCTCGCATCTTCATTCCAATTGATTTTACGGTAGCCGTGACTATAAGAGGTGTCAGGTGAGCAACTCTAGAAGTCAATACTCTAAGTGACGCAGACCATATACATGCACGAAGTATGAGCCTCGAGGTTGTATGCTTCAGTGTTCAAGCACAAGACGGGGATGGACAGAACTGCTGATTAGAGTAAGATAACAAACACCAGCCCATTGTAGAATAGCCCGTTAAAGGTGTATCTGCGTTTGAGTGAGTGGCTGCGCACAACGGTGGTGGAGATGGAAACCCCGCTAAGTCAAACTTCATCAGCAACATCATTACATCAGCCGTTTGAACTGATGCTTCGCTGTCATACAACCATGATGACCTATGAAATAGAGAATAATAAGAGGGAGAGAAAGGAGCCTTATCTGAAAACCTTAATGCCCTAAGCAAACATTCAGGGTCAAAACGCCTACACCTTGTGTAGACAAAACACTACCACAAACAGCTGGCTATCGTGCAAAGATAAAGCGTCATCGGCGAGACAGCTTCCTTGCTGCTTTCACTGCCACGCGTCATAATCAGCCATTACCCCGCAGATAACTCCGCAACAAACACACTTTAAACAGGCAATCCGATTAGGAGACGGCAGCAGACGCGCCACTGGTGTCGGTTCCGAGCCATGTCCTGTAAAGTCTCGAGCCAAGCACAAGGCGAGTCACGTGGACTCCAGCCCGGAAGACGAGACGGACCAACGGCATCCAGTTTGGTCATCAGTAACTACATTTCCCGCTGCCATGTCAACTTCTGTCCACCTCGAGCCTTGCGCCACCCTACACCTGGCAGACTAAACAATGCCCTCCTAGGTAAGCGGTGACCAGGCATACGTGGCACGTGCCCGAGCCAACGCAACTTATTCAGTGCTATCTGTTGTTCTAGGGAGCTAGCATGATTATCACTTCCCAGTACTCGCCTACGCATATCATTGTTGCGGATACGCTGGCACCGTCGGACAACAGTTATATATATATATATATATATATATATATATATATATATATATATATATATATATATTCGATCTGATGGGTCAAGTTTGGCAGCCGCACAGGAGGATGGAAAGTACAGCTGCATTGTAAACTCTGCCTATCAGTGAGAGTGATGTCCCGAAAGCATCTCGAGCTTTTGCTATACGGTTGGTGTTTTCATCCTCGATCGCATGGGGGCAAATATGGCTACCGAAATACCTGAATTTCTGAACGACTTCCAGATGCTACCTATCAAGGGTCGGCTAGGATGTAAGTCCCAGCCAGTCTTGGCAAAAGGCTTAAGTGATGGATATAATTCAATTTTCATAGTGCTTCGCAAAACACTATCACCCGCGCACTGTTTTCGCCAGACGTGCGCAGTGACGCATACGACGATAACCAAATACCATCAGCCTTTCGATGGTTAATCAAGAAGCGCTCTAATCTGGTTGTCATGTGTGGTTAGTACGAGCGATCTAACGAGAGCTGCCGTCCTGGGTTTTCTGATCTTTGCTGACGATATTGAGAAATGGCCAGTGATCGAGGTATCAAACGATCACGAGGCATACCTGCACGGCTTAGACTGTGTATTAGATTGGTAGGTCTAAGCTAAGCCACTATTCAATGTAGTTAAGCTCCGAGTGGCTCAGATACACTACTGATACGCCCATATATACGGGATTGGAGAAAACAACTAACAGGCCACTGAAGAGGAATGCAATCTCGGTTGCTCAAAACCGTTTGAGCTGGTTTCAAAACCAATAGGCATCTAACAGGTGGGCACCCAGAAGTTTTGATTGATTCATCTTTCATACATGGTTCAATGTCTCTGTTTTGTCAGGACCCGTGGCTGCTTGCACTCACCGGCGGTAGTAAGAACGCGAACGAGTAGGAACCGAATTCAGGGTACTCTTACATAAGGAATTGACTTCATTATATAGCATGACGTACAAACGTAAAAACCAACCAGTGGTGCAAATATGCGGACAGAAGTAGTCTATAAGGACTGAACAACTAAGGAACTAATCGTATCCAGACACAGGAAGGAAGGTGATAGTATTAGCCCCAGAGTAGGACTACAATCCGAAAGAAAAAGCAACGACTCTAAGCAGCCAATGGGGCTAGGGAAATGATATGTTAAGATGAACGTCAGGGAACTACTACAACAAAACGAAAGTCTACAGTCAAGAGCTGTTACACAAATATACCTGCATTTTTATTACTCCTGTAGCAGTCTTCGTGTGAATCTATGCCGGAAACTGTTGACAGAATTGACACCACATTGCACTGTGGGCTCTGGAACGTTCGGAAACACAGAACATCCAAATTCTGCCCGACCTTCCATGTCATGTACTCGGAGAATGAAGTAGGTGCTATCGAAGAGTACGTAAATCTCATGATGGCATTTCAAGTATTAAGTGGTCATTTACTGAACCCCAGTCAAAACACCGAATTAATAAGTAGCCACTCGAAACTGTGGACAGTAGCTGTCTAGGATGGAGTCGGAGCCACTGACGCTTTCGGGTTTGCAAACACTGGAACCATCGGCCAAAATAAGGCGACTATTTCCACCTTGTCTACTTCAAAAACCGGGTGGATATCATCTGCGTGGTTTGTAACACACCTTTACCCTGCGGGGCTGCTTACTCATCAGCCAGTTTGCATCTCATAAGGTATTACACCGTTATCTTAGGGATGCTGGAACAATTATTGCCTTCAGCAACAAATAAGTACTAATTCTCGATTTCGGATATGTGCCTTGCATATGCAAGATGACAGTGGCGGAAGCCTCAGACTGAAATAACGAGTGCCGTGTAGGGGGCTTTCAGACCTCATAACTACTGAGGTCTTGATGACTTACCTTTCATGGGGTTGGCAACCTACGTCCGCAGCAGACACCACAGCCGACGTAATCCACTCGGTAGCTAGCGCAATCAAGGACACTGTTCATCGACCACGAACCGGGTTGATGCGTCCGCCACCTCCAACGACCTTGGCGCGTGAAAGCGACGCAGCCTGTGTGTGCCGAAACCCAATCACCTGTCTAGCCACGTGACCAATCACGCCGATCACAGACACGGCCAACAGCAGCTTTCACCCGATTGGCGGGAAAATGTCGACAACATCAGCTGTTGCCAGACCAAGCTCAGCCGCGGCATCACCGATGCGAATGCAGTGCGTACATTGAACTGGCTGTGTAGTTCGTGCTGTACCCCACTTCGACTGTGTGAGTTCATGCGTTGCTGACAAGTGACAGTGAGTCGTATGCGATATTGCGGTTCACTTTTGAAGCACCATTGAGATTAATCGCCAGATTCCCTCCGCTCAAGCATGAAAGATTGTTATGGCGTTAAAAAGAGAAAACCGGAGAGGTGGTTATTGACTGTTGTCACTTGTGACAACATACCTAGCGTACCTTGCGAAACCATTTTGAAATGTTCACAAGCACATATATCGTTCACTAACGTAAGACCGCGGTTGGCTCGTGATCACTGGCGCTAACGAGCAGTTGTGCTTTCCCGACCAGTGCAATCTGATTAGTAGAAAAATAAGCGTAGTCGAATTTTTTCGATTGTAAGCAATACCTTTTTATGGATAACCACAATAGAGGGATTGCAAAAACTTTTTTACTTCTCGCTTAACCTACCGTTGTAGCAGTCTGAATGGCTTCCCCGGTTCGACTCACTCCGTGGTGTCAAATTCTGACAAAAATAACTCTGCGTACTTGGGTTACGGGTGCAGGATATTGGGCAGAATGTTGAAGCCGTTGGATAGAAATGAGCACCGACTCATCTTCAGTGCTTCGAATGGACTCCACTGCACCGCACATGCTGAGGAGAATTTGTGCACCAAACTTCCGCACATTCTCACTCATTTGACTTAGTACATACTACGTACTAAAACGGTCAAATGCATGCCAAAATGGTTTGCCTTTGTTAGGAAAGCATGTCCTCCGAATGACACCAAGTACACTAAAACTATAGCAAACGACGCTCATTACATATTGAAGCGCTAAACTATACACTTTTTTGCATGTGTGCAAACTGCCCAAAAATTGACAGGGACCAGGAGGAATTTAGTGTTTGCCCTATGGTTGCAACAAATCAGGGTGAACAGTGGTACCAAGTCTGTGCGATCAGTTGAGCACAATGAGTGGCCAACATAACTACCATGGCCCTCCTGAGGTGGGTATCGAGAGGTCTCAGGTTAGAAGGTGCGGCAGCCACTGCTTTCATATGCCACTGTCTTGCGCTATTTACTCATCCAAAGCAGGAGAGAAATTAAGAGATACCTAAGTTAACTCTCTAGGTTGGTGAGTCATTTTGGAGCACTTATTATGTAATTGGATTGCGACGCGCAATCTCAATGTGGACAGTGATTTGCCTTAAAGCGAACATTGGCTACGTGGAGACCACATAATTGTTTACCAATACTGGGCCACCCCAGACAGGTATGCCGCCATCTTTTGAATCTCCGCCCGAACACCAACCTCAGTGGCAATAGACGGAAACTGAGTTCATGAAAAACTCGTCTAGATTGTCGACAAACTTATTTCTCACTCCGGGTATGCCAACCCTAGAATACTCTGCTGAATTCAGTTGTCTGTGCCCCCACCTCAGCCATTTCAAAATGAGTTGATATCACAGTGAGCTCCGTACACTTTGTTAGAGGAATGGCCAATCCGGATGTATCCAAGCTAAGTAGCTTTTTTGATTTGGATACGCCCACTTTTGGAATGCTGTCCTGTTAGGAAAGAAATCTCTAGACAAGAAGCAGAGAGGCCGATCGCCGATACGGAGCCAAAGCATGGCCGGTGAGCCATCATTCTCCCAAAAGGAATGGAGAAACATGTAACCGACTGAGTGAAGTGGTCAATTCGCATGAAGGCGGCGACTATTGATTGGTCGTAAGCTGACGCTTTAAATGTTTCCACGTGAGCTTTATACACTGTTCACGAATGTTCCATTTGACATTCATATTAATGAACAATGAACAATGAATTTATACGGGTTAAGAAGCGTTGCTTTACAAGTCCCGTTGGATAGTTGGTGGGGATATCAACATAACAATAACGATGATAAGGATAGTAAAATAGCTAATAATTTAAATATGGAAATGAGGACTTATCGTTTGCTCCGCTGTAGTCCCGCGATCCTCTTAGATTCACAGCACCCACAGTTAACAACAAATAATTCCATGGTAAACTCCAGGTGTAGGATGGAGACGTAGTGTTAAGTAACAAAGTGTACGTGGATGAGTGCATCGTCCAACCGTCTTTTAAGTACTGTTATTATCGGTGCAGAGACGACCGATTTTGGGAGAGCATTCCACGGGTGACAGACACGGATAGAAAATAAATTTCTGCGGCACTCCAGACGACTGTATTGTTCTGCGAGTTTTAATGAGTGGCCCCTCAGGTTTATATTGCTGTTGAGTTACAGTAAAGGGCGGCACACATGATGTGGGTCCCGCAGAATCAAGGATGCCATAATCAGGTCGCCTCGTAGTCTGCGATACCTTCCACTGAACAATCCCAGTCGTCGCAGCCTCTCCTGGTAGGAAAGATTGCGCATTCCAGTTACGTTCTTAGATGCCCGGCGTTGAGGCTGCTCCAGTGCATTAAGGTCGTGTTTCAGCCATGGATGCCAGGCTTGAATTGCGTATTCGACATGGGGGCGAACATACGCACTGAGCATTTGTCGAAATATGGAGCTGTTTATTTGTCCAAACGCCCGCCTCAGCAGCCCAACGTTTGGTTCCCGGTCTTCGAGGACTTTTCGGATTGCCTGGAGCAATCCAAATCATCTTGAACCAGGACACACAAGTCACGTTCGAGAGTTGATTTTTGCAGTACATCCGTTCCGAGTCGGTATGAGTAGCTGCTCTGATGTCGGATGGAAAGCACCTTGCATTTATTGACGTTGAAATGCAATAAGTTTTGGGTCGACCATTGATACACAGTATCTAAATCACTCTGAAGCACATGTTGGTCGGTGTTCACATAGATCCCGTGCCAGATCTTGATATCATCGGCAAACATTAGGAAGTTTGAAGCGATTTCCTGTGCAAGGTCATTAATAAACACCAGAAACAAACGTGGATCTAGAACCAAGCCTTGCGGCACACCACACTCCACTTGTATGGGGTCCGATAAAGAGCTTCGAACTCTGACCACTAATTGCCATTGAAATAGAAAGCTGACGATCCAGCTTAAAAGAGAGTCTCCGATCCCGTAATGCTGCAGCTTGGATAGAAGTATCCGATGGTCTAGACGATCGAAAGCCTTGGAAAAATCCAGGTAGATCGCATCAACACCTTCTCCAGCGTCAGCTGCCTCGGTCCAACTACTGCGCGCAATTAGTAAATTCGTTGTCCATGACCGCTGTCGACGGAAACCGTGCTGTTCAGGAGTGATGAGGTTGCAGTTTTCCAGATAGCACACCAGTGCATCGGCAACTATGGATTCCATGACCTTGGAGAGTATAGGAAGAAGGGTTGCTGGACGGTATTTGGAGGGATCAGTTCTGCTTCCACCTTTGTGAATCGGGGTTATTATTACAAACTTCCACATAGCGAGAACTTGGTTCTGGTCTAAGCAGCGCTGGAAAACCGAACTAAATGTCCTGCCAGTTGGTTTGCTGCTGCTCCCAATGCCTGAGGACGAATGGTGTCTATACCCGGCGAGCTGTGTTTGCGTAGAGAAGTCAGCTTTTGCACTACAGCCTCTGCGGTAAAATTGATGTGGGTTAGTCCTGGTGAGCAGAATACAAAGCGTGGTAGATTGTTTGGTGGCAAGACTCCTTGAAACGTAAGGGCGTATTGCATCTGCAGCGCGTTTGCAGCTTCCATAGACGTTCTTGTTGGGCCATCAGCCGTCTTGAGTGGAGGAAATCCTTACCTCACCTTTCTTAGGGTATTAACGTGCTTGTACAGCAGTTTGTGACTAGCACTGAAGGTTTTCGCGATGTTCTGCTTATAGTCGGCTCTGTCTCCTCTTAACAATTGAGTGCAATGGTTACGTTGGGCTACGTAGTTGTCCCAAGTTTCTGGTGCTGGAGCTTCTCTGTACACTCGCCATGCTGCGTTGCGTACTGTCATCCATTTTCGGGTTCTGCTCCTAACGAAATAAACGGATTTGCACTTACTTCAAGCTTTTATCTCTGAAGCCTGTGCGATCAGCTGACTGAAGTTGTTGACGAACTCGAGCCAGGCGACTTCTGGAGGTTCTTCTTCGAGAAAAGACCATGTTGTGGCGCTGACTAACTGGGTGAGTCGGTCGTACCTTGTGATGGTTCGCACAGTATCATCTTTATCATTCAGATATTCTGCATAGCAGACGAAGTTGAAACTGATGACTGCGTGATCACTGCTACCCAACGGGCAGTCTAAAACCAACGCATCAATCATATGCTCCTCGTTGGTAAGCACAAGATCCAGCACAGATGGCCTGTTACCAGTTCTGAACCGAGTGGGCAAAGTGATGTGGTTGTAAAGAGGAACAGCAGTTACTAGATCTTGTAAATCGGTTTTGAATTGTTCTCCGATCGTGGCAGGGGCTTCTAAACAATGCACGTTGAAATCACCCATGACGAGCATGTGAGTGTGCTTTTGTTGTAAACTGCACCTTAAAGCAGCCGCTAGGTGGCAGTCGGTTTCGTGTGTTGATATAGGGGCGCGGTACACCAAGACGATAATGCAAGCGTCCTTGCCTTTTAACTGCAACCGGCACAAAAGAGAGCCAGGGAACTGCGAGTCTGAATCCTCCACGGCTTCGCACTGTAAGTCGATTCGGTAATACAGAACTAACCCTCCTCTTTTGTGAGCCTGTCGTTCCGGATCAGCGACATGCCGGGTAGCGAAACTTCAGCGTCCACATTCCCGTGTGCAACCACGTCTCGGAGATACCAATGACATCATATGACCCGGAAGCTTGGCGATCTTTCAGTTCATCCAGTTTGTTAGAAAGTCCCTGAGCATTTGTATACAAGCAGGTCAGTTTCTCGGTCTCTAGGAGCCCGCAGAGAGGTGGAGCTGTCAAGTGTGGGAGAATGCCGACCGATTAGATGTCGGCAGTTACTCGTTTTTTTTGATGGGTCAATGATACCTC